CCCTTCCCCCCCCCCCCCTCCCGTACCGGCTCGCCTTTACTGAGTCTCCTATTGTCGCTGCTGAACTCTTCTTCTTACCACCCCCTCCAGAGTGACTGAACTGGCCTTTGCGTCAAGCTCTTTCTTTTGAATCTGGCCGACAACAACAAGCGATCACTTCTTACAACTCCACTCCTCTGCCAAACCCTCCATCGAGCCTGGTCGATGGCCCGGGTGCCGCAGTTCCGCCCGTCGCACATCCTCGCATGCATAGTTGCACCCCCGGTCTTCTCGAGCCGCTCAGCGACCAAAATCACTTTGACCTATGAACGGTCACTCAGGGACCATGTCGCCTGTCTCTGTGGATGGGAGTGACTGGTCCGGGATCAACCAATACAATAAAGCCGACCCGCCCTTTTCCCCGACTTTTTCGACACGCAGCAATCTCGCGACACCGCCAACATCAGGCGTACCCAGTGGCTCGTCGACGGTGGAGGGACTCCCGAATGGCTCGTCGGGCCCGCTGAGCGATGCTGGCAACCCGTCTCCGCCGAGCTCCGTGGCCGCGCGATCGAGCGATGGGACCTTGCCCGATCGCACCAAGCGGCAGAAGCGGCTGGAGGAAGTCCTGGGCCAACACTACGTCGCTCTGCGCCGGTTTCTCCAAGGCCCGTATCGGGAAGATCGCCTAAATAGCAAATCGAACAAAGCTCGCGACAAGCTGCTGCGACTCTCGCCCACCCAGTTCCACGAGCTGAGTACGGACGTCTACGATGAACTACTCCGACGACAGCAGGCAATGCCATCACCCTCCCGGCCCCCTCGTCCCGATATCCCTCCGTTCCTCACCCCGCGAAAGGAGTTCCACGAGAAGCGCAATCAGGCACGGAAGAAGCTGGCCTCGCTACAACACCAACGGTTCAGAGATCTTGCGACGGATGTGTACACGGAGCTCGAGCGTCGGTTTCCGCAGTTCCCAGCCCGAGATACCAGTCGCGCCGTCAGCCCCGCCCCGAGCTTTCGCGGACGCCCTCCTCCCACTCCCACCGGCTTTCCGCCCAATGGGTTTCCTCCGCCGGGCCCCGGGGGCCGCACTTCACAGAATCGGGGACCCCCGCGGTATCCGCCGGGGGCGATGCCGCCTCCGAGTCCTATGCGTTATCCCCCACGTCAGGGTTCCTTAGGAGGCCCACCGCCTAGCATGAACGGAGATGGCCCCACGGCGAAGTCGTTCCAGAGCAACACAATTGTTCCCAATAAAAGCACCATGGTGGAGGATGATGACGACGCGGCGGGTACGGAAGACGACTACGATGCCCGCAGTGATGCGTTTGCCCTGGATGTGGTTCTCAACAGTAGGAGAGGGACTGGGACAACTTTAGGAGACGGTGACCGCAAAATGCTGGCAGAGACCCAGTCGCAGGTTTCGTTCCTCCAAGAAAAGGTGACAAAGCTAGAGGAGCTGCTCAAATTGAGGGATCAGGAGCTTTCGAATTACGAGGAAGACCAGAGCAAATTGGGCATGCTGGAAGAGTTGGTCAAAACGAAAGACGAGGAGCTTTCAAGATATCAGGAAGAACAAGACAAGTCACAGGTATGTTGGCTCGCCGCGGTCAAAATGCATTCTAGCTAACCAGGTGGAACAGATCAGTGTCGCAGAACGCCAAGAGTGGGAGGATATCAAGTCGGACTTGGAGAGCAAAATAACGCAGGCCGAAGACCTGAACCACTCCCTCCAGCAAGAACTCGAGAAGGTCCGGACTGAACAGCAGGATATTGAGATGGAACTGCGCAGTCAGATCGATCAGGTTTCGCGGCAGAGCACGGGTGATGCTGAGTTGCAGGCCAAATTCAGCAACCTTGAAATCAAGCACCAAAGCTTGCAGACGGAGTTGCAAGAGCAACAAAAGGTGACCGAAGAAGTCAGGCGGGAGGCAGCAGGGTTCCTCGTGGAGATGAGGGCCTTATCGGAACAGAGCCATACCAAGTGGGAGCAGGAAGAGCGGCTTACGACGGAGGTCCAACGACTGGAAGAGGAGGTAAAACAATGGAAGGCACGGTACGCCAAAGCGAAGACTCAACTACGACAGCGCACCTCATCCATCGGCATGTCGGAATTGCGCGCAGATGCCGCGAGCGTCGTGAAGGACAACGAATTTATCCAGGAGACGGGCCTCGTCATGGATGTGCATGTGACCAAATTCCAGATCTCCATCGACGAACTGCTGCGCATAGCGCGGGAGGATGACCCTCAGCTGGTCATGCAGCAGATCAAAGCGGTCGTTGTTGCCGTGCGCCACATCCTTCACGATGTGGAGTTGCGCAAAGAGAGCAACGAGGAGCTCTCCGCACTGAGTGCCAAGGCCACCCGCAAAGTATCTGCCACTGCAAACAATATGATTACTGCGACCAAGAATTTCGCCAGCTCCGGTGGACTCTCCCCGCTTTCTCTCCTGGATGCTGCAGCTTCGCATTTGTCATCTGCAGTCATTGGGCTGATCCGCATCGTGAAGATTCGGCCTACTCCAGCGGACGAATTGAACGATGACGAGAACGACGAAGCGCAAGTTGCCCAGATGAAGTCCCCCGACTATTTCAGTGTGGCGCCCAGCCAGGGTCGGCTCAGCCGCAACGATTCCGTTTACAGTGCCATGAGCGCTCCTGCTGAGCACGAAGTTGCCTCGCCCGGTATGAATGCAGGAATGCATACAATGTACCCCGTGAAGTCTGTGGACCACGAGCTCCATGAACTCAAAGTGGGTGCATCCACTCTTTTTGGCGCCCCTGTAAGCGGATTCTAACTTGGAATATAGTACTACCTCGAGGATCAAACGGACGGACTGGTTCAGTCGATCCAGGCTCTTGTTGCTAGCATTCGTTCTGAACAAGGCCTCAACACCATCAGCACCCATATCTCTGCCATTGCCTCCGTGGTGTCCCAGGTAAACTCCTCCACGCAGCACTACATCAGTGGTCCTGAAGCCAGTTCCACTCTGCGTCAACGTGCCGGCTCCATCATCCAGACCTTGGAACAGCACCGGGACCGGCTGACAGGCACCGCCGCTGAGGGCGAAGGGGTCTCTGATTTCGCCGAGCTCCGCGCCATCACCAACAGACTTCCGCCCATTGCCTTTGAGATCGCCCGGGAGACCAAAGAGCTTGTTCATCAGCTAGACCCTCATGAACTGGACGATGAGGAAGATGACTTCCGGTAGTACGGCCGATTCAATGAGCTCGACATGACTTTGAATATTGTTGTTGTTCAATATTCAATATTGTACCCGCCACTTTATATTCATGTCTATGGCAAGACATGTTGTACCTTATTTCTTCACTTCTCCTACATATTTTCCCCGACTTTTCTTGATCGTCTGTTTGCTATCACGCAAGCGATGATGATCCTTTAACTGCTAATCATGGCGGTATCCTTCTGCATATATTGTGCATGACAATGAGTAACCATGCGGAATGAGACGTTGATACCTGGAGGAGCTTTTATGACTTCTTTGACTTTCTTTCTCGGTGTTGGGTGGGAGACCTCTCGCCCTTCGAACCCCACCTCTTTTTTCGCTGTTCTCCTTATCATCGTTCCATGTACACTTTCCTCTATTAGCGATGTGACCTTTATCTTCATCTTCGATGGCCCTTCCGTGGTCTACCTGTGATTTGATATGCACAGGAACGGCTGATCAGTCGTTGAATGCAACGGTCAGTCTTTCGATTCTTCTGTTTGGATTATGTGTTTTCTAGATTTGAATAGTCTTGTCCAGAATATTGCAGATATCTTGTCAATGACGATGGTATCACAAGTCAGTACTGCTATAGTGTAAACGGTAGTCGAGGGGGACTGATCACGTGGCTGCTGTGTCTCCCGAGGGATTCCGGGGCGAGAATGCTGGGTGGCTGGAACCAGGTTGGGGGAGCTCCGGCCTAGGCTGAGCTGAGCTGAGGTGGTATTACTTAATCCGAGGCCATACTCTTTTGGGGAGCTGGCTGGAATATTTTCTTCGCCGGTCCGATATCTTCCCCTTGAGCTTGATTTCCCTTTCCTCTCCACACCAGCAGCCATTGCACCATCGTTAATCATCTTGTAAGCTTGAATTCCTGTAAGTGCACCTCCATCCCCTGTTCTGCCCGATCCCAATTGGTCGTGAGTGCTGCTTCGCGGATGGAGAATCTGATGATGAGGCGCACGCGTCTCATGGAAGTGGATGGAAGAGGTCCGACAGCGGCGGTTGGGGGCTGCTGACCAGCTCGCCCTGTTAGCCTGGGTTGGCAGCCTGAGGCTCCACGAATGACCAAGCGGGAAGACTGCACAGCTGGTGGCTGTGGGTGGACGAAGCCTGCCAGGTGTGCATCGAGCTGATCCTGAATCGGTATAGTGTGGACTGCCCCTCCAGCAACAATGTTCTCCCGAAGCCTGAGGTCAACAATAACCCCACCTTGCTCGTCCTTCGCTTCTCGTCCCCTCTTCTCCATCCCCATTTGCAACTCCCCTTCTTTCCTCTCTCTTCGTTCTTTCCATCAAACATCCGCAGCCATGTCTGGAAACACCAAGGCCTTCTTCGACGTCGAGTACGCCCCTGTGGGCACCAGCGCCCGTAAGTCTTGATTTTGATTCTCGTGTTTTTCCGATTTTTGCCTCTCCAGCTCCTGCTACTACTGCTGTTGCCTGGAGAGAGAGGGGGAGAGGCAGAGGAGCAGCCTTTTCTTACCCCTCTTTGAGATTCGGTGACCGGGTGAGAGGAGGCTACGACATGCTTCATCTCTCCCCTCTTTCTTTGAATAGAGTCTTCCAATGGCAAGGGAATCTCTGACTGACATGATTTTTTTTTTCTCTTCGACTCTCCAGCCAAGATTGGCCGCATCAACTTCAACCTCTACGAGAAGGACGTCCCCAAGACTGCTCGCAACTTCCGTGAGCTCTGCACTCGTCCCAAGGGTGAGGGCTACAAGGGCTCTACCTTCCACCGTATCATCCCCCAGTTCATGCTCCAGGGTGGTGACTTCACCCGCCACAACGTAAGTGTCTCTCACTGGTTCTTCAACTGGCCCTGGTTGAGGAGCAACAAGCATCCCGACTAACTCATTCATCACCCAGGGTACTGGTGGTCGCTCCATCTACGGGGAGAAGTTCGCCGATGAGAACTTCATCTACAAGCACAACCGCCCCGGTCTCCTCTCCATGGCCAACGCTGGTCCCCACACGTAAGTTCTTTTGTCGAAACAGAGGGAGTAGCTCCCGCTAACCTCCAAATCAATAGCAACGGCTCCCAGTTCTTCATCACCACCGTTGTCACCTCTTGGCTCGATGGCAAGCACGTCGTCTTCGGCGAGGTTGCTGACGAAGAGTCTATGCGGGTCGTCAAGGAGCTCGAGGCCATCGGCAGCAGCTCCGGTGCTGTCCGCTCCGCCGTCAAGCCCACGATCGTCAACAGCGGTGAGTTGTAAGCAGTTTTTAGCCATTTAACGAGCCAAAAATATGTGATACGGAGGGGGAAAAAGAAGAATGAGTAAGGTGGACCAATAGGACTCCCTCTTTTTCTTTTCTCTCATCTACTTGCTTCCCAGTGTTCTTTTCTTTCTGGTATGCTGTAATCTAGAGTGCCCATATTGAACTCTGCCTATGTTCCGTCTGGTAGCCAATGCACGTAGTCGTAAGACAACGACTCGACTAATTGCGGCGTTGCATGAAAACATATTAGTATGTAGACCCAATGCGAATCGTCATTGCAGTCACTGAGCAGTAGAAATCGGATTCCTGCGTTACGCCATGATGAAGTCAGAACCGCGGGTTAGAGAGCATTTCGGTCGAGTGGCAAACTTTCAAGTTAGAGTAAGATCCGAATTGACCCCGCTTGGGATAGCGGGGTAATTTTTGACCGTGACATTCTCGAGTACCCGGACGGAGAGGCGCTATTGCCGTCTGGTTCCGTTCCGGCAACACAGCATGACATGACATTTTGAGTGACCCTGCAACTGCAACTGCATGTGTATCTATCTGCATGAGTATCTGCAAGGCCGGCTGCATTTTTTTTGCCGTGTGGTGTGCATCAGTCGCTTTCCAGAGGATTAGTATGTACTGTACTATAGCATTTCATTTGATGTGGGTGTTAAGTGGTAGCTCTAGTGCTTTACAGTCTTGACTTGTAGAGGTGTTGGAAGTAGATCTATCCTGTAGGTTGCGATGTCTGGAGATATCAGTAGTGTGCTGTACTTGCTCTGTGGTTTGCTTTGTTGGTTAGTTGGTTCTGAATAGCTTTCAGATCGTATCGGATTCTTTTTATAGGATTTTTCTTTTGAGGGGGCAGAGGTTGGATGGGAGTTGTAGGGTTGGGTTGTGTATTGTTTGTTCAGCACAATTGCTCGCACAAAGTAACTTAGTTACCTGCCTTGGTGGGGTTATGTGCTGTCTTTGACGGGTTCGGGCTCTGATTGTAGTGTAGTGTAGTGTAGTGTAGTGTACTAGACAAACGGGTTACTCTTTTGTCTTTGATATCCTACAACTCTACTCTACGGTATACATGGATTGATGGTAGAGTGGAGATCTATGCTGTGGATGTAGTAACAGTTGTACCCGGCTATTTCTGGACCCTGCAATACTGAAAACAGCTCCTCCTCCGTTCCTGAACTGTATCTCCATCTCCATGGTCCTCGGTAAAACCTCATACTCAATTTCTCTTGACCTCCTAGTGTTGAATGCGGGTAATGCGTCTGCATCGCAGACTGTCTCAACCCCGATCATCTCCAGTATACCAAGACCATCCCTGCAACGACTGATGCCCAGTATCTCTAACCACAGCACTTCGTCACAGCGGTAGCATCGTTCCTGCGACAGATATCAAGTCAGCCAAAGTCCCCTTCCCCTTTCCCCCTTCCAGACAAAGAACCCGAACACCACAAGCAAAGAACGAGAGAAAGATACTCTGAAGGAAGCAAAGAAAGAAAAAACATACCCCACCCCGTCTCCAGAATCCATCACCTCCCACGAAAACACCAACGCCCCCAAAAACGCCCCCACGATGATACAGATGATGATATACCCGTTGAAGTACATCGCCAACAACATGACGAAGTACGCCACGGCGAACTGCAGCATGTGTAAGGTTGCTCGGACGAGTTGCTCGGGTAGGGTTGGGCGGTAGGGTGGCGCTGTGCCTACAGCAGTAGTTGTTGTAGTGGCAGCAGCAGCAGCAGCATCCTTGCACCGAGAAGTCGAAGCAGAAGCTGACGGCGCCGTACGCATTCTCCTCTCCCCTTCGGAAGGGGAATCAAGATTTGCCAGAAACTGATACCGCAGACGGGCCCGCCGGATGAGGAAAGCATCGTACTCTCGCGCGACGCGACGCAGGAATTCCAGGCACACGACTAGGCAGATGGTGCCGATGCAGGTGCCGGCGAACATGCCTTTGGTGGTTATGTGCCAGGTTTTGGAGAGGAAGCCTGTTTTTGGATCTTAGTTTATTGGGGGAGGGGAGGGTGGGTGGTTGGTTAGGGTTGGTTTGGTTCAGGTTAGGGTTGGGTTGGGTTGGGCTTGGGGATGGCGTACATGCGTCGATGGTGGTCCAGTTCCAGAGCATCTGGGTAGCTTATTCTTAGTATTGATGGTGTTCGATATTGGTCAGAAAGAAAGGGGGGTTTGGGGGTCATACGGAGATCTGGCAGCTGGATGAGCCCATGTCCATGTCCATGTCCATGCTGGAGGATGCGGTGCTGCTGCCCATGGCGGCGGTGGTGGTCGGCGACATGGTCATGGTCATTATCATGTCCATAGTTGTAGATGTGGGCATATCCATATTGAAGATGGATTGTCTGGGTACAGAGACGGAGAGGATGATCAGATCGTATGTCCTGGAGACGGCAGGGGGTCAAAGGTTGATATAGCCAGTTTGACCCTAAAGATACAACCTCCTCAAACCCCCCACGCAGCTCACCGCGAGCCCAACCCATTGTCTGATCCATCAACCATAGCAATAGAAACTCGCTCATCCTGCGCAGATTCAAGACTTTGGCAACACGATGCCCACTCGCTACCCCCTGACCCGGCCAATGGGGAAGATGCATCGCGCGCAGAATTGAGCAGATTTATGCACTCCCCACTCCTCTCTCAGACCACGACCGTCCACAACATCAAATGAAAGGATTTGCAATGCAGAAAGAAAGCGTACTAGAGTCTCCAAGGAATACACCTAACACCGCCCATGGCATTCATTTCACGGGGTATATACACAAATATTTCGCCTGCCATGCCTTTTCATTGCAACGCAACCAAATACAAAACAAAACAACAAAAAGATCACCGACGAGCCGACTTCTTAATCACCCCCTCCAGAATCTCCCGGATCTGCTTGCACCCGTCAATGCCCACCGCCAGCATGGTCTCCACATACGAACAGTGCACCTTGGAGTCCATCGTCAGCATCGACACCTTCATCTCGTCCTCGTCATCGTGGATCATCGCCGCCTCCCCGACCGGCACCGTCGTCGTCGTCCCCACCGTCAGGAACGGCAGCTCCTGCTCCTCCGGCAGGGACAGGTCCAGCAGGGGGTCCAGGAAGTCGTTGTTGGGGTCGCGGGGCGTGGACGCGCTGCCGCTCATGCCGGCCGTGCAGGCGCACAGAAGCCCCGGCATGGGAATCCCCGCGTCCACCAGGGCCAGCGTGCAGGCGTTGACGGCCGCCGCCAGCAGGGAGCCGTCCGCCGACAGCACCGAGACGTGGATGCTGATCGTGCTGTGCGGGTAGAGGTAGGTGTGCAGGTGGGACTGGAAGGCGGAGCGTAGGATGGTCCCGATGCGCGAGGATTGTCTACACAGATAGAAGATAAAGGGTTAGCAACGTCCAGAGACCGATATCCTTGTAAAAGATTCCTTACTTGTCACTTCCTCCCGCCCTGCGTTTCCGATCCACCCCCGCGAACCCGGCGACGTTCACATCCACCTCCACGACCGCCCCGGAGGAGCCCGCCGATCCGCCAGAGGCATCTCCGCGACGGCCCTCAGCTGGCCCGTGGACCGAGCAGATGATCGCCGTGTTGCCCATGGCGAGGTATGACGAGCCGGAACTGGCGGGGTTGGTGGAAATCTGGGCCTGAAGGAGCCGCAGCTCGTTCCAGCGTCGGCCATCCAGGCGTAATTTGGTGAGCGGGTATGTGGTAGACGTGTCGAGAGGCATTTTGGTTTGTGTGTTTGTGTGTGTGTATGCTCAATGGCGTCGTCTATTTCTGTGTGGGGTGCGACGGCGGGGAGAGAGAGATGGGTAAGAGCGACTTGCGAAAGTCCGAGTTTGCTCCCCGCACCAACGTGTAATTCGACTTTTGTGGCTGCGACGGAGAGGCACAGTTGGTTTTGGGAAATCGGCGTAATAACCGTGCAAGGATGAAGTTCCTTTGAAGAGTAGGTCGAGAGAGTGGTATTCAAGGGCGCGCGTAGGGCAGTGAAGGGTGAAATGGCGATGAAGATTGAGGTTTCGCGGAGGTTGACTTTTCGGCGCCGAATTATTCTGATCAGCTCGTTGCCCAATCGGGAAGCCGGCCAACCCACTGCCATCCTCCGCCGTCTCGCGTCTCCGCACTGCATCTCCAACTACCTGCCCATCTTTCAACCTGCATTTTCATGTCGGTAACAACTCATTCACCTGGCAGTCGGCCTCAACATGGGCTCAGGATGGGAGCCAGGGGACTCGGATGCCACTACAATCGGCACAGATGACGATGACCTTGACACCCCACGTTCCTCCGCCCGCCCTGCTCTCGCTCGTATGTCTCCGCACTCTGTTCGGGATAATTAACCTGGCGTCTCTCTCATCTTGTGAATGCAGGTCAAACCTCGATCGCAGGCGACAGAACACCTCGTCCCTCGACGAGCACCCGCACACCGATCAAGCAGCAGTCCTCGCCTCCTGAAACCAAAAACCTCGTCGCCGTCGTGGACCTCGCCGGCGACAGTGACAGCGACAATGCATCATCCTCCTTCAACGAGGGCGCGGCCGCCTACGAGGAGTTCAAGAACCGGAAGTCCCTGAAACGCAAGCGGCAGTCCGCGAGCGCGCGGAAGAGCAACGCCAACAAGCCTCTCAAACTCGAACCTCCCACCACCAGCTCCTTCGTTGGCCGACTCCCGAAATCGAATGCAAAAGCCAAGCCGCGGCGGCCGCTGAGGGAGTATGGCGCAGAGTATTCCTCCGAGGATGAGTTGATGGAATACACCCTCCCCGACTACTTGCAAAGGCGTCGAGTGCAGTTCGACCGCCGGACGGAACATCTCAAGGCGTCGGGGTTGAAGTTGCCTCCCAGCTACGACCAGGTCGAATTCTCGGACGACGAGCGGCTTGAATTCCTGCAGGAGAAGCCGGCTTTTGAGCATCTCAGGCCGTGTAATCACTACAAGGATATCACGCTGCCTTACTCCCTGGGACTGATCCCCGCTCCAATCGCGCAGTGGCTGCGTCAATATCAAGTAGACGGCGCCGCCTTCCTACATGAGTTGTTCGTGTACCAAAAGGGCGGAATCCTCGGGGACGATATGGGTTTAGGGAAGACCGTGCAGGTGATCGCCTTCCTTACGGCAGCCTACGGGAAAACGGGGGATGAAAGAGATGCGAAGCGCATGAGAAAGATGCGCCGCAATGGGCAAGACTGCTGGTATCCGCGGACGCTGATCGTCTGTCCGGGGACCTTGATCAAGAACTGGATCTCGGAGCTGGCCCGCTGGGGCTGGTGGTCGGTCGATACCTACCACGGTGATAGCAAGGAGCTCGCGCTCCAAGCCGCAAGGTCCGGGCGAATTGAGATCCTGATCACCACGTACAGCACCTACCTGCACAACAAAGATGCCGTCAACATGGTGGACTGGGATTGCGTCATTGCGGACGAGTGCCATATCATTAAGGAGCGCAAGTCGGAAACGACCAAAGCGATGAATATGATCAACGCGCTCTGTCGGATCGGCCTCACGGGCACCGCGATCCAGAACAAATACGAGGAGCTTTGGACGCTCCTGAACTGGTGCAATCCGGGCAAACTGGGTCCGGTGACCGTCTGGAAGAAGACGATCTCCGAGCCTCTCAAGCTCGGGCAGTCGCACGATGCCACTGTGTACGAGCTCCGTAAGGCCCGTACGACGGCCAAGAAGCTTGTCGACAATCTCCTGCCGCAGTTCTTCCTCCGGCGCATGAAGACTCTGATCGCCGACCAATTGCCCAAGAAAGTCGACCGGGTCGTCTTCTGCCCGCTTACCGAGACGCAGGCCGCGGCCTACGAGAACATCCTGGAGAGCGAGATCGTCACGTACATCAAGACTTCTACCGATCCCTGTGACTGCGGCTCCGGGAGAAAATCGGGCTGGTGCTGCCACCAGCTCCTGCCCTCTGGCGCGAAATGGCAAAGCTACGTGTTCCCAGCCATCGCCGTGCTCCAGAAGCTCAGCAACCACCTCGCCATCCTCATCCCCCAGGGTGGCGATCCCGCGGAGAAACAGGAGAAGGACAAGGAGATGCTCGAGCTGGCGGTGCCGGAGCAGTGGGAGAAGCTGTACCGCTCGCGAGACTCCATAGTCAACTTCGCCAACCCGGAGTTCTGCGGCAAGTGGAAGGTGCTGCGGCAGCTGCTGAAATGGTGGCACGCCAACGGCGACAAGGTGCTGGTGTTCAGCCACAGCGTGCGGCTCCTCAAGATGCTGCAGATGCTCTTCCACTACACCAGCTACAACGTCAGCTACCTGGACGGGTCGATGAGCTACGAGGACCGCACGAAGGTGGTGGACGAGTTCAACTCGGACCCGCGGCAGTTCGTCTTCCTGATCTCGACGCGCTCCGGCGGCGTGGGGCTCAACATCACCTCGGCCAACAAGGTGGTGATCGTCGACCCCAACTGGAACCCCTCGCACGACCTGCAGGCGCAGGACCGCGCCTACCGCATCGGTCAGTCGCGCGACGTCGAGGTCTTCCGCCTCATCTCCGTCGGCACCATCGAGGAGATCGTCTACGCCCGCCAGATCTACAAGCAGCAGCAGGCCAACATCGGCTACAACGCCAGCTCGGAGCGCCGGTACTTCAAAGGCGTGCAGGAGAACAAGGACAAGAAGGGCGAGATCTTCGGGATGGACAACCTCTTCGCCTACCGCACCGACAACGTCGTCCTCCGCGAGATCGTCAACAAGACCAACGTCGCCGAAAGCCGCGCCGGCGTCCAAGTCATGGACATCGACCTGACCGTGATGGCGGCGAAGGAGGAGTCGCACCCGGACGATTTCTTCGGTCCCAAACCCCAACCCGCCCACGAAGACACCACCACCGACGCCGTCATGAACAACCTCGCCGCCATGATCCGCGGCGAGACTGCCCCGTCATCAACCCGCCCCGCCCACCCAAACCCAACCACCCCGCCCCGCCACGACCCAATTCAAGCCATCCTCGCCAACGCCGGCGTCGAATACACCCACCTCAACAACGAAGTCATCGGCTCCTCCAAGGTCGAGGAGCGCCTCAGCCGCCGCGCCCAGCTCACCGCCGACGACCACCGCGCCCTCGACAAGCGGGTCTTCGCTGCCGCAACTCGCAACTCGCAATCGCAGCTCCTACTGTCTTCACAGCCATCCGGTCAACAGCAGCCGTACGTCAAGTATAAATTCCACCCGCCGCGGGGGGTCATGAAGCGCCAGTTCTGTAGTATGGCACGGCGGTTCGGGTTCGCGAATGCGACCGAGTTCGCTTTGGTGGTGGAGGGGATGACGCAGGCGGAGCGGCGGGCGTGTTTGGAGCGGTGGTATGCGGAGCGGAGGGAGGAGAATTTCACTGACGTGAAGGCGGAGGTGAAGGCGGAGGGTGGTGGTGATGGAAATGGAAGGTCGTGATTCATCTTGGACTAGCTGGCGTTTGGGTGGGTCTCTACTTCTGTCCATATTCAACTCATCCCTTGGTTTGGTATTGGTAGGTAATCGGGGACAACTCTTTCCAGGCTTCGATTTATCTATCGGATTGGCATGCATTATAGGTCAGGATATGCAATATCTACAAGCAACAACCAAACAAACGATACCCCTTTCTTTCAGGCAGACACACATATTACATGAATTACGGTTCTGCAAATTGAAGTATTATATTATCATTCAGTGGGCTGAAGTCTATGGTGAAGGCTGAAGAAAATAACAATAAAAAGGAAAAATGGTCGCTGCTCACCCCCCGCCTCCCCACCCCCCCATCGGCCTTCCTCCCAATGTGTACGAGACATGGGTATGTATCTACATAAGAGGGGCTGACCTATGTTCTGTTCCCTTTTCCCTTTCCCCTTCTCTTGTTGAAAACTTTTTCTTTGAAAACGCATGCTCCGTACTATAAAATCAATCGGGTATCCAGTATAGTATGACGCCGAAACGGTAGTGAGCTCGTCCTGCAAGCCGGTGTTGAACCATAATTATAGGCTGTTGTGCAGGTCTTTTTTGGAAGGCATGTCCACAACACCCGACTTGCCCTACCCGTTCCCTTCCCATGTCCAATCGCTGTGCGACCATCCCTTGCTCGAGTTGCGGATGGGAAGTTCTTAATGGACTTAACGACAATGTCGATCGCTCAATTCTCCTTCGCATCCACGTAAGCGTCGATATCGTTGGTGCGTGAATCCTTGCGCTCAACTGCTTCCACGACTTCGGGCTTGGGCTGTTCCGGAACGGGCGCCGCACCGTTAGCCACATCGTCAGTGGGAACGGGTTCGTGCGACTTGTGCGGGGGGATCTGGTATTCGGAAGACTCCGTCTGGCCGTCCAGGATGGGTGCGATGGCGAGAATCTGCTTGGCCGCAAGCTCAGGGTTATGCGCGTCACTACTCCATTATTAGTCTCGATTCCAACCACGATCGACGTGCGCAAAGCCCGGCAACTTACACATGCGCATTGATGATCCAGTCCAAGTCTTCCTCGCCCTCGTCCGGGCCGTTGGGCCCACCCTGCACCCGACGGAAGAGTCGGGGGTGCCATTCGACACCTTCGTCGACCCGCTTGGCCGCCTCCTCCCGTTGACGGTCCTCGATCTTGGTCTTCTCATCTGTGGCAGCCTCGTGGTTCCGGGCGATAATGGCCTTGACAGTGTTGTGCCATAACCGTTGGGACTCGCGCTCGCCTTGCTGCTCAAGAGGCCGGGTCAAGGGGGGAGTGTGCTTGGCGTGGGTTGCATCGAAGAGAAGCTCCTTCTTGTGGGTCTGTTTTTGTTAGAATGACAGCTCAAGGTGGGAAAGGGGCTGGTCTCAACATACATGCACGTCCTTGATGTACATCTCACCGTTCCAGAGTCCGGTCAGCTCGTAGTAGACCTCACCAGTCTTCTCGTTCTTGATCGTTCCACCAATGGCGTTGTAGGTGCCTGAGAAGTAACCCTTGGTCTTGAACTCGATGTCGGCGACAAGGTTGTTCTCCGGGCAGCGCACGTAGCTGTGGTCACCAAGCTCATACTTCATTTTTCCGAACAGGATACCGCGAGCGTACATGTTGGGTTGCGTCAGGATGCTGGGAACACGTCAGAAAAGCTCCAGCCACTCCCGAGCTTTTGAGGACCACCTACTATCGTTCGCCCTTCTCCTTATCTTGGCCGCGGTTCAAGAAGCGCAGGATCGCAATGCCCTCCATCATACTGGCGGCCGAGTTACCGAGGAACTTGCTGCGCGGCTTCAAGGTGCCGTCAATGCGGATGTTGTGTTCGGGGGCCATGAAGAAGTAGCTCGACTTGGGCGGGTGGTGCGAGGTCTGTTCAGAGATATAGTATCCGCGAGTTCCGTCGGGGTAGTCCCAATAGCAGGTGTAGGTCTCGCCCAGGATCGGGTTCAGCGGCTTCTTCACACCGCTGCGGAAGGGGGTCAACGGGGTCCGGAAGCGTTGGGAACGAAGGAGACGAAGAGTGGGAGGACATACGGTGGTTTGATGTGCCAACCGCTCAGGTAGAACTTGACCACGGAGACGAAACGTTCGAGAGGGTCATCGACATCGGGCATAGGCAGCAGGGTCTCGGGGTGTGCCATGAAACTGATCGGAGGATCAATGGAGTCAGCGACCGCAATTTCGTCACAGACATCGTCTCCACCTACTTTGTAATGCGCTCCAGCATGGATCGGGGTTCGAGGATGAAGGTAGGCAGGACAACCCGACTGAGATCTGCTCCCGGTCGGAGCTGCGAGATAATGTGGGAGAGGACTAACAGGGCCGGTCAGCAACAGCAAAGCCTCAAATTCTCGCGGGAGATTGTAGATGTGAACGAAGTTCTAGGCCTATGGATTCCACCTTTTCATGCATACAACTTTTTTTTTGGAGGTGGGGAGAGGGGCTGATCTATACGTACCGTTGCCCTGATCGGGCTCGACAATCTCATCGTCCCCGCTCACATTCTCAGGCTTCGGCTCCTCATGGGAAGACCTGCTACCTGAATGGAAGAAAGAGCCCCAGTCAGCAGACATAGTGAGGGGTGCGTAGAAGCAGATCAATAGGGGAAGAAGTGGTGTTGAGCTGGGAGGAAAGAAGAAGAGAGAGTAAAGGAGGAGGGAGAGAGAGAGAGTGAGTAGGAGGGGAGGAGAAAATATGACGTGGGGAGGAGGCAGAGAGAAGGAGGGGATCTCAACCTCCGGGTCAAAGCCACGGCAGCAACAATCACATTCAACCACTACTACTGATACTCACTGGTAGGACTAGCCACCGACGAACGACGGCGGATATGGGGAATGGTTATGGTCATGACTATCCTGTGGATTCTGACTGTGACTGTGACTGTTTTGGAGAAGGCTGTGGATTTGCAAGTTGATCTCTTCCTTGTCCAACAGCGAAGCTATAAATGAAGATGACAAGCCAAGAGTGGAAGAATAGAAATAGAAGGGAAAAGAAAAAAAAATTAGATAAATATTCAGAAGGGCAGAATCTCCTGCTGCAGGCTCAGGCAGTGAAGAACTGCCACTGATTGTGTTCCGTTAGACCCTTTTTCTTCCTTCTCGTTTTCGTATGTCTCGTCCCTTTTCGTATCTAGTTCGAGCAAAAGGTGAAATTAATTTCAATCAAATCAATGGTGACAGCCGCTCGGCTAGGGTGCTGGGAGCTCTGCGCCACAAGCCACGATCAGGTCAGAAGAGGCGGTCTCAAGATGTTCGTCTGAGAATTCTGGTGAACCAGGGAGATACCGGTGAAGAGTCTACTGTATTTATACGAATTCTGTCTCTATGAGGGAGAAGGGGCGATCTCTCGGTGTATGTGTATCGGATGACGTTGATCGTCTGCCTTGCCTTGTCTCAAGGCTACAATTTATACTCTTTGGTGGTCTTTTTTCGCCTCCAGATGAACGAGGTCCTACTATTGCGCTCGGGTTGATATTCCTGGTCTAGAGGGGACATGGGACAACGAATTTTTCTCTAGATCTCGTGGCCATTCGAAGGCTTGGGATTTTCTGCACCCCTCCGGGATTGCTGCTGCTGCTACTGCTGCTTTGGCTTTGGCTGCTTGCTTGCTGCACCTGGTAAACAAGAGGGGCGACCGGCTTGGCGGGGTGGGGGTGACTGGGAATGACAGCCCAAAGATGTTTCAAGTTTTGACCTCATTGCAGGAGGAGTCATAGACTTTTGTTCCATTAACGTCTATAGTCGACCGGTTTATAGCCTTGGTTCGGAGGGCCCGGGGTCGATCGCTGCTTAGCCGTGAGGGTATCTCAAACCTGGGCCACACTCGTCAACCCTGAGGCAGCATGGCCTCATCGTCCCCCTCACCTTCCCGTGATCTTCTCCCCAGAGGCTCCTTCGGGATGGTGCAGTATGACGTGAAAGCACCGGGCCAGATGACCAGCGAAGGGTTCTGGGATCAGTCGTCCGTCTTCTGACTGGGCCTTTTTGCATCCCTTGCTGTGGGCGATATTCTATACACCTGTTTCAATAGAGGCAAAAAGCCGACTGCATGGGAGATTCATGAGCAGTAATGCGACAGATAGCATAGCATCATTGCTTGTAGTTCATGTAGTACGAGTACGGAGACATGAGTATCTGAATGAGATGATCAACAACCGACGGGGAAGCTGTCCCAAAGCGGGCTAGCAGCACCGGGCCTGCTGAGTCAGCTTGGATGAGCACAAAAGCGGCCTCGTCGCAAGCTTCCCGATGGACGCAAACTTCCTTCCATTCGCATTTCTCCAGGGCTGCGGCCCGTGACTATTTTTCAGCAACTGCAACTGTAGATTTTCTGCGTAAATGAGCCACAAATAATGAGAGGCCACCTTGAGGTATGTATTCAAGATATCGCAGTTGTGTTTTTCTCCCTTCCATTGCACCTCTTTCTGCAGCAGCATGATGAGTTTATCTTTATTGGAGCTGTCCGAGCAAATTATGCGGACAAATCTTTTATACGCATTTTTTACCTGATTCTGCTTGTTTATTTTTTTTTGTTTCATTATCATCACAACATGTCGGATGGATTATTCTGACTGTGAGTAGACATTACAGGGCCCTAGTGAAAACATCTTTCAACCTCCTTGATTTGGACCGACAGAGAACAAAGCAACGACCAGACCACAACAACAGCAGATTTCCTGAAGAAACTCAACGCGTAAAAACAGAAAAAACCCACGTGGACCCACTTCACCAGATAGGCTAGCCTCATAAGATACACTGCATCTTCCTACCTACCTTTATCTTCCTACTCTTATTCACTACCTACCTTCTTATCCACTACCTACCTACCTACCTGCCCATCATGGCCTACGACCCGCGACTAGTATCCTCAACAAGCACCAGTGCAGGCACTGTGTCCACCACCACCACAACCTCCGCGCCACCCCCACCCCCACCACCCCCGGAGCACCAGGCACAACCACAATCCCAAGAACAACAAGTACCAATCCACCAAGAACCAATGCGCGCCACTACCCGCTCAACCTCCAACACAACCACCACAACCGACAATGCCGCCCCGCCCGAAACCCCCAGCACCACCTCCACCTCCACCTCCAGCGAGATAGACAGCTACAAACTCCGCTTCTGCACCGTCTGCGCCTCGAACCAAAACCGCTCAATGGAAGCCCACCTCCGGCTTTCAACCGCGACCCCGTCCCCCTTCCCCGTGATCTCCTTCGGCACGGGCTCGCTCGTCCGCCTCCCCGGCCCGACGGTCACACAACCGAACATCTACCACTTCAACACGACGAGCTACAGCCAGATGTACGAGGAGCTGATGGCGAAGGACGAGCGGCTGTACCGGTACAACGGGCTGCTGAACATGCTGGACCGGAACCGCAACCTGAAATGGGGGCCGGAGCGGTTCCAGGACTGGGTGCCGGGCTTGCCGCGCGTGGACCACGTCGCCAAGGGGGACAAGGGCGCGCGGGGCACCGAGGGCGGCGTCGTGGATGTCATCATCACCTGCGAGGAGCGCTGCTGGGACGCCGTCGTCGACGATCTCATGGCCAAGGGCAGCCCGCTAAATCGGCCCGTGCATGTGTTCAATGTCGACATCAAGGATAATCATGAGGAGGCGCTGGTCGGCGGCAAGGCGATTCTGGAGTTGGCCAATCGGTTGAATGAGGCGGCTAGGCTGGAGCGGCGGGCGGCCGTCGCGGAGGCTGGGGCTGGGGCAGAGGCAGCCGCGGCGGAGGCTGACTGGGAGAATGGGCAGGGTGAGGCGAGAAGGAATTTCGATGAGCGCGTGCCGGAGATCCTGGCCGCGTGGCAGGAGAAGTGGCCGCATTTGCCGGCTTTGTGGACTCTGGCGTGGTTGTAGGAGTTTTCGGAGACGAGAGAAGGGGGGTGATAGAGCTTCGTTGCTTGGCTCCGTGATATCATATGATAGTACCTATTCATTACCCTTTCCTGCCGGGACTCATGGTTTGACTTTACTGTAGTTTTGTAGTTCTTTAGACTAGTGAGACTGCAAAGTTAGGGAGTGCTTGACTTTGTGGCTATAGCAGGGGCCCGGTACATGAAGCTCTTGGTCGGCATTTCATAACCAAGTACTCCGTACAGTACGGTACAGTCACTTCCCTCTGGCCCAGCTACGACTTAGTCGGGCCCCAACAACCAGCCTTCAGAATGACAACATACTCTAAGTAGGAATCTTTCTTTCCCCATGGATCAAATAAATGCTCTAAATTGACATTCGTATCATGTCTCCAAGCACCAACTAGTTATCATACAAGACCCAACGACAACAACAACAACAACAACAGGATATCACAACCTATCTGTATCTGCAAAAAACTGCACATGCTGTATATTGCACTGTCCGCCTCCCATCAATGAAACCCCAAAGACGCCGCTATCACTCATCCCATGAAGCAAAACCCCAACCGTTAACACCGGAAAACAAATGAAAATCAAAGTATGCAGCTGACGACCCTAGCACGGAAGAACAAAACCCACAAACTGAGAGGAAGGTAGCACCTAGAAGGTACTACTGATATAGCTCCCCCCGTTGGCCGGCGGCGCGTTCCAGCTCCCTCCGCCGACTGGCTTTGCCCAGACTGCCTCCGCCGGCGCGGTCCTCGCGCTCTTCCTCCATCAGCGCCGTTTCCTCCTCGATCTCCTTCTCGGTGTCCTCGCGCAGACCGAGGATGTCCGGGGGGATGAAGCTCATCTGCACGCTGGGGGCGCCCTCGATGTAGCGGAGCTGCTCGCGGATGGACTGCAGCAGGCCGGCCAGGTAGGGGCGGGGGTTCTTGTTCTCGAGCTTGCGCATCTCGGAGAGCGGGGGGAACAGGGAGAAGTCCGGGCCGAAGTGGTTGCGGAAGGTGACGGTCTCGGGGATGTTGGGGTCGATGACGTCCTGGGCGTCGAGCAGGATCGAGGTCTCGTGGGCCCAGGCGCGGGAGACGTTGCGCGGCGTGTAGCCGCCGCCGCCGACGACCAGCAGCGGCAGGTTGAAGGTCTTGACGAAGGCGACGCACGCGCCGTGCGCCGAGACGTTGAGGTTGAAGCAGCCCAGCCGGTCGCAGCCCAGCGAGTCGGCGCCGCACTGCAGCACGATGGCGCCGGGCCGGTAGACGTCCACGCACGAGCCGATCACGTCGCGGAAGAGCTGGATGTACGACTCGTCGTCGATCCCATCGTGGAGGGGCACGTTGACCGAGTGGTGCGCGCCCGGATTCAGCGGGTGCGTCGGCCCGTTGCTGTCAAGCGCGCCCGTGCCGGGGAAGAAGTTGTCCTTGTCGTATTTGTGAAAGGAGACGGTCAGCACCCGGTCCGTGGACCAGAAGGCCTGCTCGACGCCGTCGCCGTGGTGCACGTCGATGTCGATGTACATGACGCGCGGGTGGAGGCGGAGGAGCTGCAGGATGCCCAGGACGATGTCGTTCACGTAGCAGAAGCCGCTGGCTTCGGACTTTTTGGCGTGATGGAGGCCACCCGACCAGTTGATCGCGATCTCCGACTGGTTGTTGCACAGTTTGCGGGCCGCGTCGATGGTGCCGCCAGCGTAGAGCGAGCAGTAGTTGTATAGGCCATCAAAGATCGGGCAGTCGTCCCCAAAATTGAAGCGCGCAATGTTCTCGCTCTGTTCCGAGTTCTCCATATCTCCCGGGTTCACTTGGCGGAGAAAGTCGAGATAGTCGGACGTGTGGAACTCCTCCATCTCCTCGTATGTGGCCCGGCGCGCCAGGTATAGGTCCATCGCATGGTGCATGCCATAGGCCATCACCAGCTGTTTCGTGAGCGTGAGCCGCCAGGGTTTCATCGGATGCGATTGTCCGAAATGATGTAGTTCGACCGCGGGATTCGCATGCCACGAGACGCGGTAGCCTTGAGGGCGGGCGACGCCATTTTGTTGGCGTTCGTGGGTGACTTTGCGATCAACGGAGAGCGTGGGAGCGGAGGTCGGAGGGGCGTATTCTTGCACAATGGCAGAGCGGGCCATGGAGATGGTTGTCGAGGGAGTATCGGAGAAATGCGGATGAGAGGTGGAGGTGGATCGATTCAAAGAGACCGATGAATTGGATTCAGATCATTCTTGCGCCCAAGGGAAAGCAGAGGCGAATGAATTGCATGCAGCGAAGAAGAGGGAAAGAGAGAGAAGTGGAGCGGAGCGGAGTTGGGGTTGAATCGCGGCAGAAAAAGCCCGCAATCACCTGCCAACTGGACAGTCCCGACTCCCAATATTAATGCTGCTTGATTGAAAGCCTTCAACTTCCCTGTCCGAGCCGAAACCGACGATCGGTAAGCATCGGCAGCATCGGCAAGCAGCTTGCAAAGACTTCAAACCATTATCATCCATTCGTAGTTGTATGTGGCAATGCTCGGTTCGGTCGCCTCTGCCGAGAACTCGCCCGTGGCCTTGTGTTTCTCAAATCCGAAACTAGGCCGAAGGATTACCTAACGTGCGCCGATGTCGGTTGAGCAGCTATGACATTTTTCTAGAAGCCTACTTCTGCCTTGAAGAATTATGGGTCCGAAAGAACGGTCGGGGCTCGAGACGAGCAATGGGCGAGGCAAATTTGGGATTCGGGCAATGGATAAACGCCTTATAAAGCCAGCTCTATTGCCCTCAAGACCCGACCCTGAGTGGCGCCGTGATTGACTTTATTTTTCTCTGTGAAACGCTACTCTACCTACTCGTGCATACAGCCGCCAACATCCATCATGCCTATGGTAACAGCAGCTACAAGCCTGCGACAGGCCCTCGCGGACCCTGAGGCCTTCATTGTCGCTCCCGGAGTTTATGACGGTTTCTCCGCTCGCATTGCTCTCGGGGCAGGCTTCAATGCCCTCTACATGGTGAGTGGCAACGCAAGCCCGGTCACAATCAAATCTGCTAACAAGCTCTCATAGACGGGTGCCGGTACGGCTGCCTCCGTTCACGGCCATGCGGATTTGGGTATTTGCACCCTCAACGACATGCGCGCCAATGCGGAAATGATCTCCAACCTTTCCCCCACCACGCCCGTCATTGCCGATGCAGACACCGGATATGGCGGCCCAATCATGGTTGCTCGCACGACTGAACAATACTCGCGCTCTGGAGTTGCCGCCTTTCACATCGAGGACCAGGTTCAAACGAAACGCTGCGGCCATCTCGGAGGCAAGATTCTCGTGGATCAAGACACCTACGTGACGCGGATTCGCGCCGCCGTGCAGGCTCGCCAGCGGATTGGTAGCGATATCGTGGTGATTGCGCGAACGGATGCCCTGCAGGTGCGCGGCTACGAGGAAAGCGTGGCACGACTGCGGGCGGCGCGCGACGCTGGGGCAGATGTAGGGTTCCTCGAGGGCATCACATCTAAGGAAATGGCTCGACAGGTGGTGCAGGACCTGGCGGGGTGGCCACTGCTCTTGAACATGGTCGAGCATGGAGCGACACCGGACATCACGGCGCAGGAAGCCAAGGAGATGGGATTCCGGATTATCATCTTCCCTTTCGCAGCCATCGGTCCAGCTTATAAGGCCATGCAGGAGGCGATGGAAAAGCTCAAGAGGGATGGCATCCCGGGATTGAGTAAGGAAATGACCCCACAGATGCTGTTCCGTGTTTGCGGGCTCGACGAGAGTATGAAGGTGGACGCCGAGGCGGGCGGCGCTGCCTTCGATGGAGGGGTTGAGCTGCAGAAGTAAATCTTCGCCTTCAAGCTATGTCTGTCATGATTACTGTAATTTAGAGATCTGTCAACAATGTCATTGTAAATATTGTATAAATTTATGGAACGAAGTGACTGTTGCTGTGAAATGCTGTGCGTATTAACACGAGTTGGTTAGGTAGTCTCACTGTAAGTCATCAAACAACCTTGGTGTTCGTCTTGCGGCAACCGGCAGTGCTTGAGTCTCTTTCCGGGCACCAAGTCACCTGACACGGGATGGAGAGGGAAGATCGCACAAGAGCTGACGAGTCGCTCTCCTTGACAGGAATAGCATCATCTCAAACCGGGCAGGCAACACTCTAAATTTGGAGGCTCTCAACTCCAGAAAAAAGGAGTGTACGGTTGCATGCTATTCATGAAATGGTCTAGTGTTAGACTTAAGGGGGGAGGTAACTTGGTAGATTTCCCAATCCTGTCATTCTCAAGTGACCGAAAAAAGGCTCGCGGATCCGAGCGTTGTTCCATAGTTGAGTAACTCTGGTTCCGTCTCATCCAGTCCGCAACCACCCAAGGGAACGTTGTTTATTTACTGGCCTCAATACTCTGTAGTCTCTCGGCAAGCTCGGGCTTGAGAATCAAGTGATCCAGACCAACGTCGGTCACACAGGAGGGGGGGTAAACTGAGTTTTCGACCATTGAAATTGGTGTCTCTTTCTCTCACGGGCCAACCTTTGGTGGGTGGCGATTGACATTACTGTGGGCTTGGTTATGGTCAGTGGGCGCGACCAAGTCATTTCAATTTTAATGGTCTGTTTCGTACTGGTAAGACGCAGTGAGATAACACTCGGCCTATGTTGTTGCAGTCGCTGCTCACCATGAGGATGTTCTTGCAGCTGCCATCCGACCGCGGGATTCGTTTCAGGTGTTTCTCGATTTGGGGGCTATCCAGGGTCCTTATGGCGCCGGCTGGCTTGCGTGATGGCATCCAGGGACCGAGGGGCAACAGACCCTGAAGTCCCTGAAGGGCCCTGAGGGTATTCGTGTCCAACGTGTAGGCGGTCACAATACCGACCATTCCGTAACAAAGGCAGTCCGTACTGTAGGCATCTCCGCAACACGACGGGGCAACACGACCGCAGCGCACCGACTCTCGACTTGCCTGGGGAGAGTACGGAGTAGTCGGATATTGAATGAGCAAGAATAGATGGCAATGAGACTGTTCAGTCCGTATAGGCAGTGTACGTGTCCAATTGATACGCCACCCACCCTATTCATCCTGTATCATGGGCATCCACAAGTCCGGCTTAGACAGTGTCTCTATCGATCTCCCCCGCGATATATCCATCATATCGTTGCTATTGACATCATCAGTTGGTTGCCCGATGATTCACAACGGTGACCCTCGTGGGTCCTGACGTGGCCCATTAGAATTACAGTGGTGGTTGTCCTGGCTGCGAATAGAGTGCAGAAGGAGAGGTGAGGGGGAAGCTGGGTCTCGCAGGGGATGACGAAGTTGCAGGCAGTGCGCCTGCAGATTGTGACTCTTCAGCAGGCACGTATCGATAAGCAGTGCGCGATGGCTTGAATGGGCTGAATTCCTCAGATCGGGCAGCAGCATTCCTGGTGGTGGACAGAAGCCATCCGCGAGATCTAATCAATCACGAATGTCTGCGACAGCAGTGTGATAGTGACTTGTCTGTTGGGAGATACATTGATTATGACGTGTCGGAAGGATCGAGAAAGATCGTGGAGATCTCACTGGTGTGAGATGGAGACGACGATGCCTTGCATTGTTGCTGTTGCTCTTGTTGTCTGCTCCAACAACCTACTCACTCTACTGTAGGTACAGTTCCATCTTCACTCGTCTACTCATGCATGTAAGGTACCAGGCACGGTAATCTAACGGTATGATACAAGCGGATCGACGGAGCCAATCCAGGGAAATCCGAGCCTGGAACCGCAGTTTGAGTGGGGCTCACCACCAATGACTGCGCAGTGTTGGCTTTAGTTCAGGAACCGCCCCCCTTTTCATTTAATTGTCGGTCTCTACGGGTCTTGGTGTGCCTTCAATCCGTGATCTTGACCAACAGACTCCCAAACTCCCCCCCATCCCCAACTGGACGGTGAGAGTCTGGCTCGATGCTCGCTCATTTTCAATTTCAAATTTAATTCTTCCTCTCCCCCCCTCATCCCTCATCCCTCTTTCTCCTTCCTTCCTTCTTCTCCCTTTCTTCTTCTCTCAATCCATCGTTCTTCCAGGTGCTCGCAACCCACACTCCTTTGTCGATTGCTTGTTTCAGGTCGAGGGCCTCATTATTGTGTTGCTCTTGTCACTCCTTATTCACTTGAACTGCCTATCAATCACTCTTTCAACTGCGTCTACCCTGGTCTCGATTGTGGTTCCAACTTAAACATCCGTGATACCCTCGTCTCGCACCTCTTTCATAGCAAAAGCAAAAACTCTTATCAAGACTACAACCATCATCAATCTCCACAATGCAGCTCAAGAACTCCATGCTTCTGTTGACCGCCTTGACGGCTGGTTCTTCCGTCGCTCGCATGCACGGCCATGAGCGCCGCCACCACCACCACGAGAAGCGCAACGTCGGTGACGAGGTCTACGCTGTCATCGATGGTGTTCTCGAGTCCTGGGTCAACGACTGGTCTGGCTCTGCTACGACTACCGTCGAGTCCAACAAGGCTGCTGCTACCGTCGCGGCTGCTGCCACTATCGAGGTGAGCGCTAACGTCGCTGCCTCTGCTACCGTGGCCGCCAGCGCTGCTGCCGCTACTTCGAGCTCCGCCTCGGTTGTCTCTTCTGCCGACGGCACCTGCAAGTCCTGGTCTGCGACCTCGTCGAGCTACTCCCGCTCTGGCTTCGGAGCCAAGTCCAACGCCAAGCGCACCACCGATGCCATCTACTACTCCGGTAACGTCGGCAGCCCCTGGGGCAGCAACATCATCGAGGTTAGCGAGGATAAGGCCTGTCTCTACCAGTATGTCGTCCGCTTCCAGGGTAGCTCGTCCGACGACTGGACCGTCAAGTTCTGGAACAAGATCGGTCCCGACGGTGGTCTGAACGGCTGGTACGGCAACTCGGCTCTGGAGTTCAAGATCAAGGCCGGTGAGACCCGCTACGTCGCCTTCGACTCCGACTCCCAGGGTGGCTGGGGTGCTGCCAAGGGTGACTCTCTTCCCACTGACGAGTACGGCGGTTACTCTTGCACCTGGGGTGAATTCGACTTCGGCAACACTAGCAACGACGGCTGGTCCGGCTGGGACGTGTCCGCCATCCAGGCCCAGAACGCTGGCCAGGAGGTCCAGGGTATGAAGATCTGCGACCACACCGGTTCCAAGTGCTCCACCATCGGTAACGCTCTCGCCTCGGTCATCAACGCCTACACTTCCAACCTCGCCGATGCTGACGGCATTGGTGGTAACTCCAACGAGGAGGCTGTCCGCTTGGACGTCGAGCTTGACTTCGCCTAGATCGTCTTCGTGTGATTTTGTCGTTTTCCTTCTTTCTCAGATTCCCCTTATGGTTTCCCTTGTGCTGGGTTGGCAACTCCTTAACATGTGTGATTTGCGGACAACTGTGAACACCATCCACCTCATATTTTCTGTTTCGAGTGTACATACCAATGTTATCGTATCTATTCCTGATTGGTGATATCCTACAGTTGTAGTCTGGTTCTCGGGTGGTACCCTGGTTCATCTCGACCATGGCACGAAGTCCTGAGGCACTGCTTTGTCTCTTCAATGCGGTTTGTCGCAATGTAGTCACCTTTGTTTTTGACTCAATGCCGAGACTCAGTGTCGATAAGATATGTTGCTGGACAAAGCCTTTTGGTCGCTCGACTTCTTTCCAGATTATGTGTTGCACTTCTTTGAGTAGCACGTACGAACAATCAAGGGACCAACAATACACCATGAAGTAGCAATATCCGGCACGGCTTGTGACTTCCAGGCTCAATATGACTAACACATGCCAGGAATCTAGTGTGATATTTCGTACTTCGCTTCTTTTCCCCTCTCCTTTGTATTCTTTTTCTGAGGCGAAGGTAGTTAGTTAGGCGGCATTGTGATTAATAATGTAATCCATAGTGTTGGCCGCGGCAGAGGCGAGAGGATTCCTGAGGCGGCGATCAGGGGCCGACGCAGGGACCACGTGCCGATAGCCGGCGTTTCGGCGTCATTTTCAGCTTTCCCCTCCGCATAAGTGTTCCTTTCTGTCTGCTTGCCCCTTCCCTTCCCTTGCTACGACTCACCAGATCATACCACTGCCTAGCATGGGCTGGCTTGGAGTCGCAACGCTGATTGCGGCTGCATGTTATCTTATTTACCGACATCCGCCCGCTACCTGGGCGCCTCAGCCTCAGCCTCATCCTCCGTCCGAGAAGACATCCGCGAAACCGCCCACTACTGAGAGCACCAGGGACGCTGCAGAGTCTCTCGAGCCTGATGTCCTCGTAGAAGATAAACAAAGCACTCCCAAGGCTTCTGCGACGAGCGTGCCCTCTATTGAGATACCATCCTTACACCTGGACAATGAGACCAAACCTGTCGCGCAAAACGACCATCAATCCCGCCACAATGGACCGATAGACCCCTTATCCCCTCCATCGACAGCAACAGCAGCAACATCCTCCCAACCCAAACCGAGCAATGGAAGTCTCATGCCTCCGCCACCGCTACCGGTTCCGCAAATCCTCCCCTCCTCCCCCCAACCTTCTGCGACAGCTTCAACTACTTCCGGCAAAACCACGTCCATGCCTCCGCCACCCCTTCCCCGACTCCGCCCAACCGCAACCCAGCAGCAGCCACAGCAATCACCATCATCCTCCATGAGCGCAGGACGCTACCCTCCGCGCCCAACGAACCCCGCCGCCGGGCCAGCAGGATCCCTCCGCCCACCCCCATCCGCCGCCGCCTCCCTCCGCGCGCCGCCGAGCCGCTCCTCCCCTTCCTCCCTCGCGCCGACGAAACTGATCGCGAAGCCCCTCTCGTCCTCCGCCTCGAACAAGAACAAACACATCCTCCAACCGGGGTACTCGCCGCTGGACTGGGCCGCGTTGACGTCCAACCCGAACAACAACCTTCGGGGCAAGAACCTGCCGCCCACGCTGATCCGGGTGACGCCGTCGATGCTCAAGGCGCAGAACGGGCGCAAGGGGGCCGACGCGTGGACGTCCTACCAGGGGAAGGTGTACAACATCACGCCGTATCTGCCGTTCCACCCGGGCGGGAAAGGGGAGTTGCTGCGCGGGGTGGGCAAGGATTCCGGGCAGCTGTTCATGGAGATTCATCCGTGGGTGAATTGGGATGCGATTTTGGGGGAGTGTTTGGTCGGGATTCTGGTGGCAGAGACGGAGGCAGAGAGTTTTGGGGGGGAGAATGAGTTGGATGCGATGGATTGAGTTGGTTGACTGGGGGGGTGACTGATGTTGTGTTTAGACGATGATACCCTAGAATTGTGATGTGATATACTTGGATATACGTCCAGATCAGTTCTATAGCTCCTTTATAGAATATATCAAGTGACTATGCCATCCACCTCGCGCGACACTACTATTGACATGATCTCCATTGTCCAATACACTTTACTCTAATTAAGAATGACCAACCAACCCAACCTGCCTTCCCAGGGAGAAAGCAAAGCCCAAACACCACACCCGAACGAATGCATCTCAAAGATCAAACCAAAACTCGGCTACTTACCTTCCTGCCCTCCCGCAAGACAAAGAACCACCCACCGGGCCTGTAGCGGTAGGCGCTAGGCATTAGAAAAGCACCCTAGCCCTCCCGGATGCGGAACACCACCCGCCACCGCGGACTCTCCATTGGCACCGCACCGCACCTCCACCTGGCACCTAGCTAGCAGCCACCTCCACCCCCAGAAAACATAAAACGTAACCCGTAACCCCGTAACCCAAAACTTCCATCCCCTCACCTCACCACACCTCACCTCACCTCACCTCACCTCACCTCCAACAACCAAAGACCAAACCACCCCGTTCCCCTCCCACCTATAGTTTCAACAAACAGAACCGAAACAATGCGCCTCCTTCCCCTGGCCCTCACCGCTCTAACGGCCACCTTGGCCGCCGCCTCCTCCTCCTCCTCCCTCGGCATCGAGGTCACCCACCCCGTCGAATGCAGCCGCAAGACCCAGAGCGGCGACACAGTGCACATGCACTACCGCGGCACCCTGGCAGCGGACGGCTCCGAGTTCGACGCCAGCTACAAGCGCGGCCAGCCGTTGGTGTTCAAGTTGGGTGCGGGCCGGGTTATCAAGGGGTGAGTTTACTTTTCCCTCCTAGTGATTGGACTGAGTTGGATATGGGGGGCGGGGGGCGGGGAATTGAACTTATTGTTTGGATGTTCGCATGCATGCATTGGATGCACGGCTAACCTTCTGCGTGTAGCTGGGACCAAGGCCTTCTGGACATGTGCATCGGCGAGAAGCGGACGTTGACGATTCCGCCCGAGTACGGGTATGGGAGTCGTGGCGTGGGCCCGATCCCCGGCGGGGCGACGTTGATCTTCGAGACGGAGTTGGTGGGGATTGACGGGGTGGCGAAGGATGAGTTGTGAACGGTGCTGAAGTTTGGCTTTTGGGAGAAAGGGTTGGGTTGGGTTTTCATTTTTGGGTTCGGAGAGAGGGTTGGGAAAGGGGGTGTAAATGAGATCGCTGGCTGTGGTTTATTTTGTCTACCTAACCTTTTACTCATATTGCACAGTGCACATGGTGGTATCGGTCATGCTAAAGTCCAGCTTTATTTCTAAGTGGGCGCAAGTATCTAAAGTATGCGCGGGACAACTTTTCAACAGGTATCTTTCTATATACATATAAACAAGGTCTAAAAAAAAAATCAGGCCCATTTCCCAAGCAACGCCATCAGCAGCGCACCCAAACATAACAGGCCAAACGCGGACAGCACCACGTGGATCGGGGCCTTGCGCATCGACGTGCTGAACATGAACTCGTGCGCCAGGAGCTCCACCAGCGCCGTGTAGATCAGAATCCCCGCCGAGATCGCATCGAACACGCCGCTGACGATCAACGTCGTGGCGCCGCTGTCGGCGTAGCTGTTGCGCACGCCCAGACCGATGGCGATCGCGATCGGGGTGGACACACCGAACCCGAGGCCCAGGAAATACGGCGTCCATCGCTTGGCGCGCGGCCACGGCACTGTGGCGAGGCGCGAGCCCAGACCGAGCCCCTCGAACGTTTGGTGGAAGACGAGCACCACGTAAAGGGTCACGAACCCGGTGCCGGTGACCGCGAGAGTCAGGCCGATGAACACCGAGTGGAAGATGATGCCGAACTCCAGGATGAAGATGGACGTCAGCTGCGCCATGTACTCCTCCAGATGCGAGTGGTTCTTGCCCGCTTCGACGTCGTGGTGCTCGCGCGAATGGCCCAGGTGGTCTTCGCCCGGCATGTGGCCTTTGAAATCCTCGGAGACGGTCACCGGCTGCTCGGCTTCCACCTGGTGGTGGTGGCGCTGGACGTGGTGGTGGTGACTGTCGTCGTCGTCGTCTTCTTCGCTGTCCGAGTCATGAGCGTGGCCGTGCCCGAAGCGTGCGTAGCGCATGACCATGAGCTCCACGAAAAACAACACCACAATCGTCATTAATACAATTGCTTCGGTCCATGAGTACTCTGTGATCGGCCCCGTCAGGCAATCGCTCGTCAAAGCCTCTTCGGCCGGGGCCAGCAGGTGGATGAACGCCGTGGCAATGATGACACCGGACCCGAAATACTTGGCGACGAAGAAGGCCCATTTCGACAGTTTGCCGTCACTGAAGCTGCGCGCAAAGACGGGGAAGATAGCCCCGAACGACGAGCCGATGAAGATCACGAAGATGGAGGAGATGCGCAGGCCGATTCGGCCGTCGTAGTCGTTGCCCGTGGGGCAGCCATCGTCTCTGGCAATGAGGGTATGGAGGGAGTCCATGCTTTCTGCGCTCACTCGTCCTTTTCCAGATCCGTCGGCAACTCAAGGATCCTTGGGCCTGTGCTGTGTGCTGTGTATGTGTGGCACGGGCCCGCCTTCAAGGACAAGGTTGAACGGGATAGATCGACCGCTAGAAGCCAGCGACACCGTTAGAGAGTCCAATGATATCGCCGGGTGGGTGTATGACAGGGGTTGTGGCAGGCGTCAAAAAGGCACGTGGGAGGAGGAATGTGAAGGGTTGAGAATGCTGCCAGTGTCCGTCTGCAAGGTCCGCGTTCTTTATTAAGTGGTCTGCTTTTTTTCGATCCCCCGCTCTTGAATGTTCGAAATCCGGTTGTGCGGCTGCCAACGGGCACGTCGACAGTCCCCAAGGTCCTTGAGACTAGTCAAGAATGCCCACGTCAAACTAGTGAGGGCGAGACAGCAGCAGCCTGTCAGATGGGGACCTTGGTAGCACAGTGGGGGAAGCGACCCAGCTGCAGTGACTAAGAGAGCGATTGAGATCGCCCGACGACTCGAGAATGACCGACACGTCGCAGGGATAAACGAGCAGATGCACCTGAGGTGATACAGGCGCAATCAGCAGGCGGACAGAGGGAATGGTCGAGGAGGGCCATCGTGGCGGCGATGAAGAATTCGACTCTGTTCTGGGAAAGGTGCGGGTCGATGTTGCAGTGGATGGGGACCTTGGAGGAAACCGACGTCAAATTCCTCGGGCACCTGGGGACCTTGGAGGAAACCGACGTCAAATTCCTCGGGCACCTGGGGACCTTGCGGACAGGCTGACCCCCCTTTTTTTTGAGCTGCTGATTGGTCCGGATCAATCTCGGAGTGGGTCCTATCACGTGTCAGTGTCACACAAGATATGATAAGATGTCTGTAGTCTACTCCGGAGTACACTTCTTTAGCTGTGCCATAAGAGGAAACGAGAGAAAAGCCAAGTTCATACAATTCATAGTGAAAGATCTACTACGGAGTAGGTTGAATACCGGTTATCCATACACACGTTTTCTATGCTGTGGACGAGTCGGTTAAATGAACATGTACCAAGTACAATAGAAGATGTAGTATCAATAAGAAGAAACCATGGACCACCCTCTCGAAAAGTCAATTCAACAAGGCCCAGATCAAACCATCAGGGTACCCAAGGAAGCAAATATAGACTCATGAAAAGATCACGCCACTCTCATTAGTCTGAATCAAATTCTTAACTATGGTTTTAGCATGGCAATACACAGATAGGACACTACTAACTAGAAGATCGGTATATTATGGAGGGACTTCGAAAGAGACAACGAGAGAGACAAGATATCACAGGCTCCTAGCCACATTGCACATTGCAAACCGCGGTGTATGGATGGTGCACTGGAAATGGCGCCCTTGGGGGAAGATGCCCAGTCTTTCCGCCCTTGCCGGGCGCGCTTGGCGGCGCAGCTCCGAGCCCGGTCACGTCACGCTTTCCGCCAACTCTCGCGGACGACCACCTCACACATGACATCAACACACACGCATACTCGATCCCCTTCCACTCTGACACTCTAACTATCTATCTTTTTCGAAGCTACCGATACTAGCCCGAATTCGACTTAGTATCAACTACCTCTCGAACGCCACAGCACCTACATTCCATCCGTTCAAACCGTGATCGCTGCCCTCATGGCGCCGATTCGCCGCTACCTCCGGATCAGCAAATACACCGTGCTCGAGTGCCGGATCTACCTCGAGAAGCCCTCTGACATCCGATGGCTGCTCAGCAGCCGTGACCCCGTCCTGCAACGGATCTTTGCCGCCATTCGACCCTTGGTCCTGCCCAAGTTACGCGAAGAAAACGAGCGACTATTTGCCCGGAAGAAAGGCAAGCCCGTCAAGGATGTCATCGCAGAAGGTATGCTGGCTTTCGGCCGATGCAAGCGGAAGTCCTCTCTGGTTTTCGGCGGGGTGGGGAACAAGACTTGCTAACATCATGCCATGGGTGCAGATGACTTCGAAGTCGCCCTGTTCCTTCGCGAATCTCGAACACGCCACTCTCTCTTGACGCGACACAAGGAGTTTGAACAAGACGCGAACAAGGGCCAGATCAAACTGCCAGCTCAAGTGGGGGCCGATGGCACCGCTGGGGGTCATATTCTGGTCGAAAGCGATGATGAGAGTGATCTGCAGATGCAGGATATCCCCGAAGCTGGTGCGGTCGAAGAAGGCAATGCCGGAGGGAAACGTGCGCGGACGTTGGAGGAGCGGGACGAGTCCCCGAATGATCGACGCACTTCCAAACGGAGGAAAGACGATGATTCGATACCACAAATAGATGAGACCGAGGACAAGAAGATGCAATTCAAAACGAACTATGAGGGGTTCAACATCTACGGCTGGGTGCTGTGTCTGCTCGTCACACGCAAAAGTGACGGGGTGAGCGCGACGCCTGGCTCCTCAGAGCCTGGTCGCCAGGTCCTGATGGAAGAATGGATTTCTACGCAGGCTCAAGGTGATCTGATTGAGGACTGATTCTGAAGAGTTGCTTGGACATCCGCGGGGTAGATGGGCCTAACGGTCGGTGATGGCCAGCGCTGGCTCTCGGATCCGATGGTCGGCAGACCGAACGTGCAATCTTGTCCGCGTAGACTTTGCATGGCTGCAGGGGGCGGCTATGATGTGCAACCCTGCCTTGCAGACATCCCTGATCATAACCGTAACTGGGCAGAGTGGGATGATCTTGAATTCCACCTGGCATGATAGCAGGCAAACACTTACTGCCTGGATCTGCAGCCTCGAGGTCACCATGAAACACACCCCTGCACCCGTTTTTGCAACAGAGGCGGTAGTGCTACGTGCAATTTGTGGAGTTATCAGGCCATTCCTACCGCTGTCTACAATGCTCTCTGTGCAACCTGCAGTCTCAAGGTCCTGCATTTGATGGTCCTGCTTTCTTTTAGTCTGTGCCACTCAGCTATGCGCGAAGCTTTTCACGGCCCAGTTCGGCCATTCTCACCATAGCGCAGTTGATTCACCACACATAGCCCCATCTGTGGCGCTCTGGACGGAAACGAATTGCGCGATGCTCGGTGACACTGCTCCAGATGCATCTGCAGGCTTGTAGTGCTGATTTAACTTCCGGCTTGCTGCATATGCCAAGATCCTGGCGTTGACGCTTCCTTTGGACAGGGCAGTTCTTGCATTTTCCTTGGAAAACTATATCGAGTCGTGATATAGGCACAACCCAAAAGCGATATCAAGGCATGAACGGAATGATGCTTGGCTTTTCGGCAGCTGAGCGGAGTCCATGCTTAGCGTTTAGAGTAGCTTGCTGATAACAATGTCGAAGCCTGAACCCCGGGTGGACCCGAATTAATCCCGTTCCCTGTCTCCCCAACAGAAAAGTGGCGCAGAATCCTCCGAATTCGGCTCACCGTTTTCTTTCAAGATCGGAGAGGGGGCCCTACAAGGAGGAGGGCCAAAACGACTTAGAGTAGTTTACGACTCAATTCCAACGCCCAACGAAGTGCGGAGGCTTTCTTCCATTATTGTTCTATGGCGGCTCCGATGGGGCCTGCGGGATGGCGACTCAAGCCCAATCCTCGATACCAGCCGTGACGGTCGTACAAGTTCAACAGGAATTACCGAATCGCGACGTCAAGGAATGGGGACAGTCGGCGTCTTGTTCAGCAATCGGGCTACCCTAACCTGTACGTGCACCAGGATAGCGACTATGCAACCGATCATTGGTGTAGACATACACCGCATGCGCGCGTGCTCGCGCAGGAAGAGACATCAGTAGTGGACCATCGGTTGCGGTTGAAACCCACGATGTGCTTGGCGGCTAGTACCGCTTCACGATGGACGGGTGGCTAGCGGGATTTGCATCATAATTAGTGGCCTTTTAGCCTGCGATTAGCGGGCGCTGGTTGGGAGGGGGTTCGAAATGGATCCATATCAATTCGTCGAAACCACTCCGAATCTTCTCGTCTCTCCATAAATCTGCCCCTCGTTTCCTGCTAATTAAAGAGCGGTGAACCGTGGAATGGAAGGACTTCTGGAAGGGCGGGTACCATTCCATGGAGCGGAGACAATTCTCTGTCTGTCTGAGGTTGATCTTCACCGCTGGAGATGGATTGCGATCGTGGTCCCTCGCCTCCATCGGCTGCGGATCCTGACCACACCGACATTGATTGATTCTTAAAGATGAATAAACCTTAGAGGGAGATTGGGGTTCGGGAGGGAGGGTGATCGACCGAGTCTGTCTCGCAGTCAGTACCCCGTACTCGGCGCTGCATAGATTCTAATTAGGATTGTCAGAGCTGCAGCGAGGTGCATAGTACCTGCATCAAGCAGGTGATTGACTCGCCAAAGGCGCCAATCACTCATCGGCAAATATACGGGCAGTGCAGGTGAGACAGAGACAGGGACAGAGACAGGGAGACTGATGTCGGGATGGCAAAGAAGCCCAAGAGACGGGGCTTCAAGTTAGTGATCAGTCTAGTCTAGTTTGGTCGATCCACTTCGGGACAGGCACAGAGGGCACATGATCACCACTTCACAGCCAGACTATGACCGATCAAGAAAGCTAGAGAATTCCGATCTACCCACATCGCCATGATAGGAAATGAAGCGCCAAATTGAAGACCACCAAGAACGACAATCGCAATTCGATGTCTTTTTCATGTATCTCTCCGACAACCAAAAAGCGCTAATAACACATACCCGAGGAGATGATGATTGACCATGATTTACACTGCCTCCGCAATCCGCAAGGCCATTGCTGCTGCTGCTTGTTGTTCCCACTCTTTTTCGCCAACGGCGCGGAATGAACAGTGGGGAATCTCATTTCCTTCACTTGGAACCATTGCTCCACCCGTACCAGAGTATCTGTAATTTTTTTCTTTTGGTTTCGGGACGGTCAATTTGCCATGTGTTCGTTCCATCGCCTTCCAGGGTTTCAGAGCCGACAACAATAATCCAACATGAATCATTGGGCATGTCGGGAACCCAGGGCAGATCTGGGTTTT